AGAGGGAACAGCAAAAAGAAAAGAGGGAACAGCCAAGGGAACAGAGGGAACAGCCAAGGAAACAGAAGGAACAGCCAAGCACTGATCTTTTTTTCTCCCTATTTTAATCAGCTGACTTAAACATTCACCAATCTTAAAGGGCTCTTGCAGCCAAGAGAAAGTAGGAAAGAAACATGAGTAATATAAGAAAAAAGAACCACCAGAAAGGAAGAGGAGAGGCTAAGGTGGCAGAGAAGGCTGTCACGGCATCAGAATCTCCAGAGAGGTGGCAGCTCTGAGGCCAGATGCCACAGCAAGATTGCAGGGCGTGAACAAAAGGCCCCTAACTTAGTTGCAAAGAGGCCACTGGAAAGCCAGGAGCACAATTTCGGTTGAGAGGGAACTGCCCTTTGCTCTGGGGTTACAGGTTGCAACTGGTGACTTCTCCTTGGATAGCTGCTGCAGAGCAAGACAAGAAAATAAATCTAGAAGGTAAAGAAAACAGGAGACCTCGTGACGGTGTGAGACAAGAGGCAGAGAAGCCGTGGGCAGGGACAGAACTGAAGGTTCTCTATGGAAAAGCTGAGCTGTTCCTTGCAGGTGTGTGTACAGATGACCAGTCTCAATTCCTATTTACTATCCAGACAAATATTTCATCCAGTGGCATCAAGTGGAAGAATCAAAGTATTCCACAATAACAAGAAGGTCAGCTGCAATCATCAAACGGTGCTAAGTGCCAACAGCAAGGGCAAGAGAGGCCCTGTGTCCAGCAGGCACAGTGCCCGACACCAGCCCGGAGAGGCTGGGACGAAAGTCACACGCAGCATGAAACAGCAAGAACAGAGGCAGCAGTGAGTGGAGACGCTATGATTTCAATTACTTATCCCTTTTTAAAAAGCAATAGTTCCCAGTGAATATGGACGACATGGATGCTAAATTTGATCCAAAAATGTATACTGCAATACATTTCACTGAATTCCATTTTCTGAAGAATCAATCCTAAGGATATATGTAGATTGATAGATAATTACAATCCAGTCAAATAAAAACTGACTTCCCCAGACCTACCCAGCCAACGTAGTCAAGGCCGAGGGGTGTGATCTAGGGCAGATCACTTGAACTCTATGTCCAAGTGTCTGCTACTAGAAAATTAGGATAAAAATACCCTCATCTCATAGAGATCTTACGGGGAAATCAAGTGAAAGCAACGTATGCCGGGAGCTTAAAAAAGGACAGAGCAGTTTTTAATAAACGCCACTCCAGAAAAGCAGAACAGTATTTTAGCACAGTAAGTAAGAGCGTGGCTCCTGAGTTAGGACCATCAAGGCTTGGTTCTGGCTCTGCCACATTCGCAGTGTGTGAGTTCTGGGCAAGTTACCATACGGCTCTGCCTCCATCTCCCCTCGAGTTACCATACAGCTCTGCCTCCATCTCCCCCCGAGTTACCATACAGCTCTGCCTCCATCTCCCCCAGAGTTACCATACGGCTCTGCCTCCATCTCCCCCCGAGATACCATACGGCTCTGCCTCCATCTCCCCTCGAGTTACCATACGGCTCTGCCTCCATCTCCCCCAGAGTTACCATACGGCTCTGCCTCCATCTCCCCC